AAGGAAAAAAAAAAAAAAGAATCCTTAGAAACTACAGATGGAGGACCAAAAACAGGTAGATTGCTACCACTTGGAAAGGTGTACTCTCCAGAAAAAGTGAAGGATCAGAGTGAAGTGCTAAAGTAAAAACTTGACTTCAGTGAAAGTTTGCATGCTGACAAGGTAAGATCTCCATCTCTTCTCTCTCATCCAGCTCCAGGATGCTTTTTCTAGGCAAAAGAATAGAGGATCTGTCTCAGTACCAACTGACCTACAGACAAATATTTAGAGGTTCTCAGTCAGTTGCCAACCAGCTACACGACTATCCTACACAGATGGAACTTCTGATCAGCTTCTCAGAGTTCTATTCTTAAATATGAACCATCAGTGAAGAACACCAGACATCTAAAGAAGGCCTTTGATATGGAAGAAAAAGACTAAATCAAACTGAAAGAAAACAGAAACTTAGAAAAGAGATACAATACATAGAACAAAAGAACATTTCAAAGAATTATCATTAATACCTTCAGAGGAATAAGAAAAAATACTCTGCTTATTAAAAAAGGATGCTATAAAAAGAAAAAACAGAGCTCTGGGGAACCACAAACATGATAGCTTAAAAAAAAAATCAGTAAAAGGATTAGAAAATAAATTTCTAGAAAAATCTCAGAAAGTAAACAAAAAGACAAAGAAATGGAAAAGGGAAGAAAAACAGATGACAAGTTGAGGAGTTCCAACATCCAACTAACTATAAATCCAAGAAAATGGCAGGGGGTAAATTATCGGAGACTATACAAGAAAATCCCTTAGGGCTAAAGGATTCAACTTTTAAGATTGAAAGAATAAAAATAAATAAAATAAGAAGGATCAAAAGCAAGATAATACATCACTGTAAAAAATGTATAACAGAAATCAAAAGAAAATCTTAGATATCTTTAAGGAAAAATAGACCTCTACAGGAATAATGGGAATCAGTACGGCAAGGGACTCCTCAATAGAAACACTCAAGGCTAGATGGAAATAAAGCAAAATCCTGGATGAAAATGATTTTCAACTTCAAAACCACACCCAATCAAACAACTGTAAGGGTATAAAGAGGGAAATTTTCAAATATGCAATATTTCCCCAAAATTTTACCTTCATGCACCCTCTCTCAGGAAGCCACTAGTAGATGGTCACCAAAGGAGGGAACAACGGCATAAACTAAGAAAAAGGAAGATATGGGATCCAGGAAACAAAGAATCCAACACTGACAGTGCCAAGGGGATTCCAAGGATTTGATCAAAGTCCAGTAACAGCAGCTATGCCTAGAGAGCTACCAATATAGACAGGAACAGGGGAACAGAAGATTCTGATGGAATATCTACAGGAAAATAAATGGAACTGACAGACTACCTAATAAGTGGGACCATAGAACACTGGCTTGAACAGAGTTGTTGGAAGGTATAGAAGACAACAGTAGACTCAGAAAAAATGAAGCAAATAAGAGGATGGGAAGAAGAAGTGAATGAGAGTAGAGTGGAAGTCAATACACAATTCTAAAACTGAAGTGATAGCAGAATATGCTTATTACTTAGAAATATGGAGACCAGAACAAAGAGCCAAGAGAGTTACCTCAGAGGAAAATTAAGAGCTCTCCTTTCCACCCTCACCAAGCAGAAATAAAACAGGAATAACAATAATGAAACATATCTTATATTCTACGAGGACTTATTGTGTTAGAATTACATTTTCTTGACTAAGAATTTTAGGCCAAAATGTGGGTTTTATAGCAATTAAGAATAAAGTTGGTGGGGGGAGGGGGGAACTCCTGCCTGGCTCAGTTGATGGAGCACGCAACTCTTGATCTCAGGGTCATGGAGTTCAACACCCACATTGGCTGTGGAGCATACTTTAAATTAAAAAAAAAAAAAAAAAAGAGAGAGAGACAACAAAGATGGGGGTAGGGGAGAGAGGAGGGAAGGAATCACCTTTTTAAGCACCTTCATGGCAAATATTTTCCCAGTATTTGCTCCTGTTACTTTCCGTACTTGAAAAACCTGGATAAAAAATACAAGTGTTTCTGTGTTATTAAAAGCTAAACTATGCTAGCCACACTCCCTTAATTCCTATTTATAGGAAACAAACAATAGTTTATATTCTTATAAAAATTAGTAACACAAACACACAAAAATGAGCTGAAAGAACAGATTGTATTAAAGATTTAGTAGTGAAATCTCCTCCACAACATGGGGCCGTCCTATTTGGTCTGCTGACATCTGGTGGCAAAGCTGGTCAGTGACCATCCAATGATGAGCACTCTATATAACTTCACACATAAAATCCAAGTTTGCAGAAGCATAATACCAAAATTAAGAATTATAAAATATCTTACAAATTTCTTCCAGGAATGTCTCTGTCCTTGCTTCACATAAAACTTTAATAATAGTTGACAGGAATTACCATTTACCTATTTCTTAACTATATAGCTATATAAAACATCATCATGCAATACCTGAAATGATATGAGACTCTAAGTGCATGTGTTGCACATTCAAGATAATTAGAACACATTAGAATGTGTCCTTAAGCCTAAGAATAAACTACAAATGTCATGCTATGAAAAAATTAACCTACAGAACAGCATAAATAGTTCTTAAACTTAATCCTAACTACTAAAATGGTATCCAAATTCTATCTTTTGATAGAGAATACCTAGGTATAAATTTTCTTGAGCAGAACATGCAAAGGTTAAGGTCATTTATTAGAAAGCCTTGAGCAGAACTATGAAACTAAGAAGTTCTCTTCATTTTTCTTCTCCCTTCTTATATTCTTCAGCTTCCCTAACTATTGCTCCAAATACTGCAAGTCAAAGAACACCAATTCAGATTTAGGTCTCAGTAACAGATAACAATTTAATGTGCCATGCCTGTTGAAAGGAGTGGTTTTTAAAAGGATACTCACAGGGGATACCATTTAACCAAAGGAAGGAAGGAATCTTCTAATAATAGACTTTGCCTGGCATAATTGCCTATTTATTTATGCAACAAATATCGACTGAATGCCTGTTATGTGTCAGTCTTTTATGTGTATGGTGGTAGGAAGAGAACTTCTTTACATCCCTCAAATAAAATCATGTGAAGTGATCATACCCTCTGCTGACAGCTAGCAAACAAAGATTGAAGAGGACTACTGAACCAGGGCGTAACAATTAATCTACCAAAGACAGACAACAGCTCATTTCAAAAATACTTCCTACCTTTCCATAGCCCCCTTTACCAAGTACCCGAAGTAGCTCAAAACATTCTGGTCTGATTTTTTCTGGCCCTCTGTTCACACTAGTTTCCGAAATTTCAAATTTCTCACAATGTTCCATGCCACTGCGGAGAAAAGCAAAATCAAAAGTAAATTCTCAACAAGTTAAATTGTCTTTAATATACTGTAATTGTAATCCAAAGAAGTAAAAAGGAGAAGGCATATAACAGCAAATTTACTACCTGTGCTCTGTAAACTAATGATTCAGTGGCATAGTAGGTCAAGATTACGATGGATTGATAACTGTATATCTATTTGTTTACAGAACGTGCTATTATTTATTTTTGTAAGCATTAAGCACCCTCAAACTAAGATAAATTAGAACAAGTTTATTATATTGACAAAGGAAAAAAGTCTTCTGGTTATTCTTATTTAGTTCATTCAAAATGTCCATGAGATTTAGGTATTATTCAACTTTATTTGGAAACTTCAGAAAATCTGGGAACTTTCTAAAAGTACCCAATTAGCTCAAGTCTCTTTGCTACAGAAAAATTCTTGCTAATAAAATGTATCCATGCATCTTTCCATATCTACTATTAGCTTGATTTAAAGACTCTAACACTGGCATTTATTTTGTCACTTAAATGCTTTTTACATGAGTGATCTCAGTCTCCCCTCCAACCTATGGGTACAGAGCAGATTAATCTGTTCTGTATTAACCACAGTCACCTAAAAGACCTTGCCTAAAATGACTTCTGAGATTACACAAATCATTTTATAAATGATATTACAAGCAAAATAAGAGCATTTGACTTTGGAAGACATTTATAAAAATTTGATTTTTTAGTAAGAAAAAAAATCTCTATTGAACTAATAATAATTCCTAACCCACTCAGACTCATATTCAGTATACTGTAAGTCAGAATGAATACCTTTTCCTCAAAATCTATATATGATCTCAAAACACTAGATATGTTACTATATTGGTGCTAAACTCAATAAACCAAGTGCACGTGTGTGTATATATATATCTATATATACATGAATAGATAATTAAGAACAGGTTATTGCAATCACAGGATGGTTTACAAACCAGAGCTGATAAAATCTACTTGTAAGAAAGGCAGCACAAGAAAATCTTTTCACATAAACTTACAGTTCATATGGTCCAACTCCCCCATGGTCCATGCTTTCATTTAACTGACCCTGAAAAATATGTTAAAGTTTTAAAAATAAATTATCTCATAAACATAAAATCAAAATACTTAACGCTTCAGGGGTGGCTGGGTGGCTCAGTCAGTTGAGTGTCTGACTTCAGCTCAGGTCATGATCTCACAGCTTATGGGTTCGAGCCCCATGTAGGGGTCTGTGCTGACAGCTCAGAGCCTGGAGCCTGCTTCGGAGTCTGTGTGTCTGTCTCTCTGCCCCTCCCTGCTCACACTCTCTCTCTCTCTCTCTCACAAAATATAAATAAACATTAAAAAAAATTAAAAAAAAAAAAAAACTTAACGCTTCACCCTACTACTAAAGAAGAATTAATGAAATAAACCAGCTTAAAAATTCTCAGTACTTTAATAACAGGCAAATGTGATGAATAAAATATGGTTCACAAGAATATGGGGACTTCACTTTTAATTTTCTATGACAACTAAGCTACAGATGCTACTTATCAATGATCTACAAACAAAACCAGGTGATTGTTCCTTTAAAAATTACATATATTGGGGCACCTGGGTGGCTCAGTCCGTTGGGCATCCAACTTCAGTTCAGGTCATGATCTCACAGTCTAGGAGTTCAAGCCCCACACTGGGCTCTGTGCTGACAGCTCAGAGCCTGAAACCTGCTTCAGATTCTGTCTCCCTCTCTCTCTGCCCTCCCCAGCTTACACTCTGTCTCTTCTCTCTCTCTCTCAAAAATCAATAAACATTAAAATTTTTTTTAAAAAATACATTTATTCAGAGGCGCTTGGATGGCTCATTTGGTTAAGCGTCTGACTCTTGATTTCAGCTCTGGTCGTGAGCTTACGGTTCTTGAGTTCAAGTCCCACATCAGGCTCCATGCTGACAGTGCGGAGCCTGCCTGGGATTCTCTTCCTCCCTCTCTCTCTGCCCCTCCCCAGCTCCTGCTCTCTCTCATGCACACAAGCTCGCTCACACTCTCTCTCAAAATAAATAAACTTAAAAAAATTATTTATTCAAAAAATACATTTTGTGTATTATAAAACTAAAGCACCACATTCTGAGTTACTAGATCAAACAATTTACACCAAGTGGTACTCTGATATGCTTCTGAAGCACAAAAACTAACACAATGTTATAAGCCTTATGTAACTACAACCTAACTAAGCCTAAGGCAACCACAACCAGTCCACAATATTGTAGTGTATGATGTGGCTGACCAAAGCAAAATAATTAAGCACTACCCTCAAATTGTCAGGAGTCATGTTGGCCAAATATTCATTCTAACCATAGTATAAAGGAATGCAAAATTTAACTAACCTTCTGTACACTAACAATGAACAATTCAAAAATGAAATTAAGATAACTCTGTTCAGGGGCACCTGGGTGGCTCAGTCAGATAAGCATCCGACTTCGGCTCACGTCATGATCTCGTGGTTCATGAGTTCAAGCCCCATGCTGGGCTCTGTAATGACAGCTCAGAGCCTGGAGCCTGCTTTGGATTCTGTGTCTCCTTCTCTCTCTCTGCCCCTCCCCTGCTCACGCTCTGTCTCTCTTTCTCAAAAATGAATAAACTTAAAAAAAAATTTTTTTACTAAAAGATAACTCTTCAGAATAGTCAAGAATAAAATAGCATCAATTAGAAAAAATTTATCAAAAGAAGTGTAAGACTTGTACATTTGATAACTACAAAGCATTGCTGAAAAAAATTAAAGAAGGGAGCCTGGGTGGCTCAGTCAGTTAGGCGTCCAGATCTTGATCTCAGGGCCATGACTTCAAGCCCTATGTTGGGCTCCATGCTGGGCGTGGAGGCTACTTAAAAAAAAAAAAAAAAAAAAATTAAATACCTAACTAAACAAAAGACACTCCATGTTCATGGATCTGATGACTTAATATTGTTTAAGATAGTTATACTAACCAAACTGGTCTACAGATTCAACTCAATACTATCAAAATCCCAGGTTCCTTTCTTACAGAAATTAACAAGCTGATCCTAAAATTCATACAGAAATGCAAAGGACCCAAAGTAGCCAAAACAATCTTGAAAAAGGAGAACAAACTGGAGAGCTGACATTTCCTGATTTTAAAATGTACTATAAGGGTGCCTGGGTGGCTCAGCCAGTTGAGTGTCCAACTTCAGCTCAGATCATGGTCTCACAGCTCATGGGTTCGAGCTCTGAGTCAGGCTCTGTGCTGACAGCTCAAACACTGGAGCTGTTTTCAGATTCTGTGTCTCCCTCTCTCTCTGCCCCTACCCCCACGCACGTGCTCTCTTTCTCTCCCCCTCCTTCCCTCAAAAATAAATAAACATAAAAATGTACTACAAAGCAACAGCACCTAAGACAATGTGGTACTGAGATAAGGACAGATCTATAAATCAATAAAATAGAATTCAGAGCCCAAAAATAAACTCTTACATCTATGGTCAACCAATTTTTTACAAAGATGCCAAAAAAATTCAATAGAAAAGGGACAGTCTTCCAATAAATGGTACTGGGACATTTGGATATCCACATGAGAAAAAATTACTTTGGACCCCTACTTCACACCATACTTCCCCATACTAAAAAGTTAACTGAAAATTGATCACAGGTCTAAATGTAAGAGCTAGAACTATAAAACTCTTAAAAGACACCTAGGATGGAATGAATCTTCATAATCTTGAGGTAGGAGATGATTTCTTAAGACACATCACCAAAAGCACAAACAATTAAAGAAAAAAATCAATAAATTGGACTTATTCAAAATTTAAAGCTTTTGCACTTCAAAAGGCAAAACCCACAGAATAAGAATATATGAAGGGGCACTTGGGTGGCCCAGTCCATTAAGTGTCTGACTTGATTTCAGCACAGATTATGATCTCACAGCTGGCCCTGTGTCAGGCCTTGAGCTGACAGTGCAGAGCCTGCTTGGGATTCTCTCTCTCCCTCCCTCTCTCTGCCCACCCCCCTGCATGCGTGTGTACATGAGTGCTTGCTCTCAAAATAAATATTTTATTATTTTTTTAATGTTTATTCCATTTTTGAGAGACAGAGAGAGATAGAGCAGGGGAGGAGCAGAGAAAGAGAGCGAGAGAGAGAGAGAGAGAGAGACATAGAATCTGAAGCAGGCTCCAGGCTTCCAGCTGTCAGCACAGAGCCTGACGTGGGGCTCGAACCCATGAACTGTGAGATCATGATCAGTGAGCCAAAGTCAGACACTCAAACAATTGAGACACCCAGGTGCCCCATAAATAAACATTTTTTAAAAAGAATATATGAAAACTTCTGTAACTCAAAATTTAAAACAACCTAATTCAAAAAAAATCATTTAGAATTTGCATAGGTATATCTCCAAAGAAGATACACAAATGGTCAATAAGCACATGAAAAGATGTTCAACATCATCTGCCATTAAAGAAATGCAAACGTAAACCAAAATTATGCTGAAATACCCCTTCATATCCACTAGGATGGCTATAATTAAAAAGACAGAAAAACAAATTTGGCAAGGAAGTAGAGAAACTGGAACACTTGTACACTGCTGGTGGGGAATGTAAAATGGTACAACCACCTAAACAGTTTGGCAGTTTAGGGGTGCCTGAGTGGCTCAGTTGGTGAAGCAACCGACTCTTGATTTTGGCTCAGGTCATGATCTCATGGTAGTGAGAATGAGCCACGTGTCAGGCTCTGTGCTAACAGCGCAGAGTCTGCTTGGGATTCTCTCTCCCTCACTCTGTCCTTCCCCCAGGTGCAAGCGTGGTCTCTCTCTAAATAAATAAACTTTAAAAAAGTTTGGCAGTTTCTTCAAAAATTAAACATAGACTTACCATACGACACAGCCAATCTACTCCTAGGTATCCATCAATAAAAATAAAAATACATGTTCCACAAAGACTTGGGCACAACTGTTCATAGCAGCACTATTCGCAACAGCCAAAAAATGGGAACAACTCCAATGAACACCAACTGGTGAAGTGATAAATAAAATGTGCTTGATACACAGAATGGAATACTGTTTGGCCGTACGTATATATATACTATGACATGGATGATTTTCAAAAACATTAAGTGAAAGAAGCCAGACACAAAACTCTACATACTGTATGATTCCATTTATACAGAATGTCCAGAAAAGGCAAATTTATAGAGATGGGAAATAGACCAGTGGTTGCCTAGGGACAGAGGTGGCAATAAGGAGTGACTAGTTTCTTTCAAGGGTGATAGAAAAAATGTTCTAAAACTAAATTGTGTGATAGTTGTACAGCTCTGTAAATATACTAAAAGTCACAGAATTGTTATAAAAATAACTTTGCAGAATTCAGTTATTAATATTATAAAACATAGCTTTAAAATGAGTATTCTTGAATATAGTCTGGTTATGAGTCTTTCAATATATACAAAAGGGCATAACTTAATTGGGCTCTCAAAAATGCTAAGTTTTTGTAAATGTTGAATCACTAAATTGTACACCTAAAACTAGTATTACACTGTAGGTTAACTAACTGGAATTAAAATAAAAAACTTTTAAAAAATGGTAAGATTTGAAGTTTTTATTTATAATTTTAGAACAATTCAAAAAATATTTAAGTGAACACATCTTTCTTCAAAGGTACCATTCAGTACAAACTACACATAGAAAACTGATAGTATTCTTAAACAAGGGATGTTTAAATGCCCCCTAAAGCGCAAATTTCAGTGGAAATTTGCTCATGGTGTGAGCAAGTCAGAATGAAGTCTAACACTAGGGATGTATGTTTCAGTATTCAACTGAGGCAAATGGATAGGTCAGTATCAAGGGAAAAAAATTCTTGCAGTTTCAACTTGATAGTTTCTTCTTGGGGGGGAAGGGTAGGGGTAGTTATGCTTAAAGGTTTTTTGGTTGTTGTGTTTTTGGTTTTTGGTTTTTTTTTTTTTTTTTTTTTTTTTTTTTTTTGGTCTCTGGTACTTCACATAGTCACCCACGATGGCTTCACTTTAAAGACAAAAGACTAACTTCTCTCACATGTGATAAAACTGGTAATATATAATTGTTTTTACTTTAATGTTAGTTTTACTTAATTTTAAATTAAAGACCACAGAGTAGTTAACATTAAACCATGACTTTGAAGCCTCCTAGAAGGATATGCCCTGTGGCTATGTTTCATTTCCGGAGCCAGCCAGGCCTGTATTACCACCTGCATCTGTGTTTATAACTTCCTACCGTTACCTTCTGGAGAAGTATTTGAGGCACAATGCTTTTCTGCTACTCAACATTACCTTTAGAAAAGTCTTAGATCAGAAGTATCAGGTTAACACTATGTAATATTTACTGACAACTCTCTTTCATAGGAAACTCTTTGGATTTTTTTAAGCTTTATGACCCATCCAATGCTTTTTTTGTGTGCCACTATGATTGACAAAGTGAATCCTGCTCATCTAAGGTACTATACATGATTCAAACCAGACCACCAGAATATTTCCACAGTTTTAAATTAAAATTGTATATAAATTCAAGTTAATATGCCTAAAATCCCAATGAAAACGAGCACATTTTATAAAAATGTAAATAAATTGTAACAGAATGGGTGAAATATCCTCAATCCAGTTATTCATTATACTGTTTATCCACTTGCTTGTTTGTTCACAGACATTTCCTTATAAAATAAGATTCAGTCATTAAAATGAGTTGGAAGAAAAGGAATAAACCTTGCTCAAAATCTTCAGCTACTTAAAAGTGCTCCATGGGACTCCCGGGTGGCTCGGTCAGTTAAGTGTCCAACTCTTGATCTTGGGTCAGGTCATGATCTCATGTTTCCTGAGATCGAGCCCTGTGTCAGGCTCCACGGTGTCAGTGCAGGACCTGCTTGGGTTTCTCTCTCTCCCTCTCCTTCTGCTCTTCCCAAAATCATATGCATGCAAGTGTGCACTCTCTCTCAAAATAAATAAATATGAAAAAATTTAGAAAAATAAAAATACTTTATAGAACCTATTACAATGCAAGATAAGAACTGATGAGATATTATTCTGTAATTTTTCATAGCTGCAAATATTTGCAATAGCAGTTTGTTCTCAAAGCACTAAAAATTTTTTGCTCACTAAAAATCTGATATCCCAACCTGAAACTCATGCAGTCTCTGTGACTACTTCAAATTTTGAATTAGTAGAGTAAAAGTTAAGGATTAGACTTTTCTATTACTCTTTTAACTTTGTGTCTCCACAGAAAACAGGTTTCCAACATTTTCATAACCTAATGAAAATCTCTAGAGAAAAACTTTCCCTTAGTTTCAACTCACTCTCTCCAAATTATACCATCACCAGTGAAAAACAGACAAACAAAAAAGACCCAAATCCACCTATCCTCCTCCCAAAAAACCTTCTCACCCACTGCTTTTTAACATAGTCCTTTGAGGTATTCAGAGTCTTTTTCTAGTTAGGTAACGGATATTCAGCTTTATCCATAAATGCATTCATTTACTCGCCTCATCCTTTACACACTGAAGAAATTAACTACGCTGTGTAAATACATAGGTTTCCTAATACAAATTCACTGTAATACATCTAAAAAGGCATACATGTCTAAATAGGACCAATAATTTAAAAAAATACTACAATTTCAAAAATGCACCTCTAGTATAACTGCATTTATTAAATCTCTAAGCATAGATGAGGATAAACTTCAATGTTTGGTTCCTTGGCAACGAGTAACACTGACAAGCTATATATCCATGAACCACCTAACTGCTTAATATGCCAGAATATTTTAAGAGGACAGTAGTTTATACACTTGATCTCACATAATCCTCATTTTACAGAAAAAAAAGTGTCAGAGAGCTTAAGCAATTTATTCTAGGTCACACAGTCAGTGACAAGGCCTGGAGGGATGTGAATTAACTTCTGACACACTGCAAAGAGGTACATTATGAAAAAGACTAGTAAATGCAATGAAGCCATGCAATGAAGCTTGCAAGCTGAAAGGAGTCAGAAGATACTACCAGTAGTTACCAATGTGGCCTTGTGTAACCACCTCTCTAGTTTATGCCTCAGTTTCCTTACTATGAAATGAAGAAGTGAGGCTACTGTGTTACGAACCAATGTTTTAAAAGTTTGTGTACTAAAGGTAGTAAATTCACAAATGGCCAGATTTTCTAAGAATCTAAACTTCTTTCATTTTTCAGAATTTGTAAATTTGGGGGCACCTGGATGGTTCAGTCTGCTAAAACCTACTTTACCAGCAATACCATCTCACAGTTTGTGGATTTGAGCCCCGTGTCAGGCTCTGCACTGACAGGTCAGAGCCTGGAGCTCCAGCTTGGATTAGTCTCCTCTTCTCTGCCCCTCCCTGCCCATGCCTGCGTTCCCACAAGCCTCTCTCTCAAAAAAGCCAAACATTGTGGGGAAGCCAAGGGAAACACTGAGCTAAGCATCCAACAGGTCATGATCTCATGTCTTAGGTTTGAAGTCCGATCAGTTTCCCGACAGCTAGGAGCCTGAGTTTAGCTGATTCTGTGTTCCTTCTCTGCTCTTCCATGCTCATGTTTCAGCCTTGCCCCAAAAAATAAATAAAACATTTTTTAAAAATTTAAAAAAAAGCTAACTTTAACTCCATAGGCAAATGTATTAAAAGGACAACTTCTTTTTTTTTTTTTTTTTTAATTTTTTTTTTTCCAAATTTTTTTATTTATTTTGGGACAGAGACAGAGCATGAACGGGGAGGCAGAGAGAGCGGAGAATCGAAACAGGCTCCAGGCTCTGGAGCCATCAGCCCAGAAGCCCATCGGGCCTGAACCTCCACGGATCATGAGATCGCGACCTGGCTGAAGTCGACGCTTAACGTAATTGGCGCACCAGGCACCGCACTTTTTTTTTTTTTTAACGCTTATTTGCTTTTTGAGAGGAGAGAGACAGAGCATGAACGGGGAGGGCAGAGAGAGAGGAGAATCGAAGCAGGCTCCAGTTTGCCATCAGCCCAGAGTCGGGGCTCGCAACTCACGGGCTGTGAGATCGCGACTCGAAATAAGTCGACGTCAGCCAACTGAGCCACCCAGGCGCCCCAAAAGGACAACTTTCAATACCCACCTTATAAACTGTGTGATTTTTATTTAGACTCATTTGATTATGAAAAGAACAATATATTTTAGCCCACTTAGTTTCTTAAGATGTTCAAAATTGTTTATGTATAACATCCCAATGTTTTTGGCAACCAGTAAGGTACAACTTACTTTCCAGAAGAGGAAAATCAGGTGAAAAATAGGGAAGCCACTTATATAGTTAGAGCAAACATCTGACACCAGTGGTTAACTCATGTACTGATATAGACAGTGGGATTTAGAATTTAAATTATCATGAGGTTATCACTGATGATCATTTGCCCAGAATAAGTGATTTAGCATGACAACAGTATTTTTGAACATCAAGTGCAATGTGTGATCTTTCAATAAATTTATCTTGAAAAAAAGAATGACATTACACAAAGAATAACAAACTAATAGGGTGCCTGGGTGGCTCCGTCAGTTAAGTAACCAGATTCTTGATTTCAGCTCAGGTCATGATCTAGCCATTTGAGTTTGAGCCCCCTGTCCAGCTCCAAGCTGACAGTGTGGAGCCTGCTTGGGATTCTCTCTCTCAAAATAAACTTAAAAACAAACAAACAAACAAACAAACAAACTATTAAGACAGCAAAGGTAGGGGCGCCTGGGTGGCGCAGTCGGTTAAGCGTCCGACTTCAGCCAGGTCACGATCTCGCGGTCTGGGAGTTCGAGCCCCGCGTCGGGCTCTGGGCTGATGGCTCAGAGCCTGGAGCCTGTTTCCGATTCTGTGTCTCCCTCTCTCTCTGCCCCTCCCCCGTTCATGCTCTGTCTCTCTCTGTCCCAAAAATAAATAAACGTTGAAAAAAAATTTAAAAAAAAAAAAAAAAAAAAAGACAGCAAAGGTAAAAGCAAGCTATGCATTAGGAAAATTCTAAATTTAGTACCCTAAATTACAGCAAGGAAAGCCCTCACACCACCATTCACAAGTCTCAGTTCAAGCAATTTATTTTTGGCAAACCAAATCACAGCTGTCAACGCTGGGTTTTTTCCACCCCAAAATTACACGAAGTATTCTGAAAAAATGTAGACATCTTCAACTAGGGTAAAAGTTACAAATGCCGTGTGTCGTTAGAGATGTTTTAAAAAAAAAAAAAAGTCACACGGAAATGGGGGTGGGGGGGTTAAAAAAAAAAAGCAAACAGACAAACCCTGGAAGATGCAGCAGAGCCCCCTTGCTCCCGAAATAAAACTCCTGGTGGCTGTAACAGCAGCGGCAGCGCTACTCCCGACAGAAGTTTTCAGCTGTCACTTCTAACAGCTGAGCGCTTCCTAGGAGAGAGCGACAGGCCGAGAAGAGAGGTGGTTGTGGGAGGTCTCAAGATTTTAATACTTGAAATTTACAGTCGAAGGAAAACCCTTCCGCACTTCACCTGCACTTACGGGACACCCAGTAAGCGAACACCCCTTCCCCCCAACATGCGCTTACACCACTCGCGCCCCGCCACATTCAAGTTCAACAGCTCAAGGAATTGACCACGCGCCCTTTTCGTTCACTCCAGAAACAGACTGCTCCGGGCTGCGCTGATTAGGAGCTATGGGCGCGACCTGCACCTGCGAGTCCTGGAACGGCCTCACACCTAGGACCAGATCCACCCCGCCCGTTCCCCTGTCTCGTACAGCGCGGCGCCTGTGCTCCTCCAAGAGACTACTCGCGCCCCCTCGGGTCTCCGCGCTCTCGGAAGCGCCAGGCTTCCAGGGCCCGCGCCGCCGCCCTGGCCCTGTCACCTCGGGCCCCCCGGGACCCCGGGCCTCACCCCCTCCTCCAGCTCATCCTCAGAGCCCGCGTCCTCTGGCTGGTCCAGGTCTATGTCAAACACTCCTGCCATGTCCTCAGCTTCCCTGTCTCGGAAGTCCGGCGCTGGGTAAAAGCCGTCCCGCCTCCGTCGTCGCCTCATGGGCCCGGACCCGCCGCAACCACCGCCGCTGCTGCCGCCATCACCGGCTGCTTGGGCTTAGTGCGTCTGCGCTTAGGCCCTAGACTGGCTCCTCAAGTTCAGCTCTAGAGCATGCGTACAGAGTTCTATGAAGCCGAACTGTGGGCAACGAACATGCGTAGAGCTTTCTCCTGGAGCCAGGTACTGGCAGAAGCATGCGCAGAACCCCAGCCGAAGCCTCTTATGGTAGCTAGGCCATGCGCATTGTGTGCTAAAGCCTTTGATGGACAAGGAGCATGCGTACCATGTCTGAAGTTGATAAATTGAAATTGAACATGCGTAATTAACCTCTGAATACCGGGGGAGGGGGGAGGAACCTACAACAAAACTCTTGGTTTATGAACATGCGCATTCGTTCTCCGTAGCTTTTTTTGGTATTGAAAGGGAGCATGCGCATAATGACGGGATTGGCCCTCTGAAGTTTGAACAGGACCAAAACGGCTGGTTCTGGGTCTGTCAGTGAGTGGGGTTTATGGGGAACTCCTGGAGCTAGTGGGGAAAGGGAGAGCCTTGGTTTGCTATTCTAGTTCAGTGGCCTTGCGAAAATCACATAACTTTTCAAAGCCTCGGTTTCCTTATCTGTAAAATGAGAATAATGATACCTAGTTTGCAGGGTTATTTGAAAATTTACAAGTACAGTTTGGCTAGAAAGCCACTGTTCGTTCTAGTGCTGCACAGACCTGGTGTGAGGTCTTTACCAAAAATTGTCTTTTCATTGTTAAAAATAGAGAAGACTTATTCCCTTATTTCCTCTGGTTCTGTCTTTCCAAGCTTAGTATTCCTTGCTGTCTACCTGAGCTAAACTCTTCTAAGTGTTATTGTCATTACCAGGCCAGAAGGTGATTGGTAGAGAAAGAAAGTCATTATGTAGAAGAGAGAAAATTAATGTTAATTAAATGTACAATTGTTGAGCTAGCTTCTGCATTCTGTGTGTTCCTGTAGTGTGAAGTATATACTAGGAATTCCTTCAACTAGCATTCATTTTATTTTGTTTTGTTTTAAATGCATGCTTAGGGAAATAGTGAATACAAATCAGATTTCAGAAACTATTGAGCTGTCTGAATGCATTTGGGTACAGTAAATTCCAAATCCCGAAACTGTGTGTAGAAAGAGAACAACTTCCTTGAATGATTAAGCTGTTTCATCTATAACACCATATACATGGCATTTTAAAATTATACTTTTATTGATGTGTATTAATACATATGACATTCCTTATTTATTAGTAATGTAGTGGTTCTCAAAGCCTATATTTTTCTATTGCAGGTTGCTCACTTTTTTGAAGGAGGCCTAGTTTGCATCTCAGCATGTCAATAGTAACAGTGCAACTTGGTCAGTGTGGCAATCAAATTGGTTTTGAAGTATTTGATGCTCTATATAGTGACTCACACTGTCCCCAGGGACTCTGCTCTAAAAGAGAGAATGAGGTGTATCAAGCATCTTGCAAAGAAAGATTCTTCAGTGAAGAGGAAAATGGAGGTATGTGTGGTCAGTCTATCCATTGTCCTCTCCTTTTCTCTGACATAACCAACCTCTTCAAGGCCAAGTCCTCCATGTGGTATCTGAATCCCGTCTCTTTTCATGACTTTGCTGTCAGCACTTTGTGTCTGTGTTAACAACCTTTGCCTCTCCAGTGGCATCTTCCCTCGGCACATGAGCATGCTCAGATCTCACCAATCTACAACCAACCAAACAACTTATGACTATAGCTTTTTTTCTTTTTTCAAGATTTATTCCCTTTTGGGTGTGGGCACTGTGGGGTGGTACAGAAAGTACAGAGAATTTGGAATTTCATTTGGAATGAAAAAACATTTTTTTTCAATAAACTCTACCCCCAACATGGGGCTGGAACTCACAACTCCAAGATCAAGCATCACATGCTCTACCGACTGAGCCAGCCAGACGCCCCAGTTTTTTTCCTTCTTATGTCTTTACCTTCTCAATCTCCTAATCACTAGATCCAGTGACTGTTTTTCTTTTCTTAATTCACTTAACTTTTCTCCTGGATTTTATTCCATTAACTATAAAATTCTCTTCTTGAAACTCCTTCTCCTTAGTCTCTGAACTTTTTTTTTCTCCAGTGGTTGCATCTCTGGCTCCCTCTCCTCTGTCCTCACTTACATAGCTCTCTCTGGGCCATTTCAGTTACTGTTGTAATTTGCTACTTCTTTGACACTAGTGACTCTCAAATCTAGCCTAGCCTCTCTTTTTTTTGCTTTAAACATTTTTTTAATGTTTATTTATTTTTGAGAGAGACAGAGACAGAATACGAGTGGGTTAGGGGCAGAGAGAGAGGGAGACACAGAATCTGAAGCAGACTCCAGGCTCTGAGCTGTCGGTACAGAGGCCAACGTGGGGCTCAAACCCACAAGCTATGAGATCATGACCTGAGCTGAAGTTGAACGCTCAACCAACTAAGCCACCCAGGTGCCCCATCTAGCCTCTCTTTTAAGCTGCAGACTGATTAGTGGACATCTCCACCTGCATCCCCCTGTGTACCTCAAACTGAGCATCTCCATATGCTAGGGTGTTTGTTATCTTTCCTTTAGAACTTGGGCTCTGATTGCCCACATACTATCAAACATAACCATCTGCTTAATTTACCTCCTACATATATCTCTTCTCCCCTTTCCGTCTTCACTGTCATTGGCTTAGTTCTGGCTCTTGTCCTCTCTCACCTGGACTGTCACCTGGACTGTTTCAAGACATTCCTTCTAGTTTCCCTGCCTTCACTTTTGTGTCTATCATATCTATTCTCCAGACTGCTGTATTTATTTGTTATTTTAGAGAGAGTGTGAGTGGAGGAGAGGGGCAGACCGAGAGAGAGAATCATTTTTTTAATATTTGTTTATTTTTGAGAGATAGAGAGACCGAGCACAAGCAGGGGAGGGGCAGAGAGTAAAGGAGACACAAAATCTGAAGCAGGCTCCAGGCTCTGAGCTGTCAGCACAGAGCCTGATGCAGGGCTTGGACTCGTGAACCGAGGTCATGACCTTAGCCAAGTTCAGATGCTTAACTGACTGAGCTACCCAGATGCCCCTAGAGAGAGAGAATCTTAAGCACGCTCAGCACGGAGCCTGATACAGGACTCAATCCCATGACCTTGGGATCATGACCTGAGCTTAAATCAAGAGTTGGACACTCAATTGACTGACCCCCCTCGGCGCCCCCACACTACTGTATTTAAAAAGTCATCTGACAAGGGGCGCCCAGGTGGCTCAGCCTGTTAAGCATCTGACTTCAGCTCAGGTCATGATCTCACAGTTTGTGAGTTCTAGCCCCACATTGGGTTCTCTGCTGTCAGT